CTTACTAGGAACTGCTTCCATCCTGCGACGATATCTGTAATACCATCAAACATCCACATCTGCCTATCCCAGGTCCTGGGTAAGGACTCGATAGGTAGACAAAATGCCAAATCCAGTCTGAACATCTGGCTGACTGTGCGATGATTGAGAATAATAAAAAAAGTTGGAAGGGACCTTGGAGGTCATCTAGTCCAACCCCCTGCTCAGGTAGGAAACCCTATACCATTTCGAACAAATGGCTGTCCAGTCTCTTTTTAAAAACTTCCAGTGTTGGAGCATTCACCACTTCTGGAGGCAGGTTGTTCCACTGGTTAATTGTTCTAACTGTCAGGAAGTTTCTCCTTAGTTCTAGTTGCTTCTCTCCTTGCTTAGTTTCCACCCGTTGCTTCTTGTCCTGCCTTCAGGCACCTTTGTAAATAGCTTGACTCCCTCTTCTTTGTGGCAGCCCCTGAGATATTGGAACACTGCTATCATGTCCCCCCTTCTCTTCATTAAACTAGACATACCCAATTCCAGCAACCGTTCCTTATATGTTTTAGCCTCCAGTCCCCTAATCATCTTTGTTGCTCCTCTCTGTACTCTTTCTAGAGTCTCAACATCTTCTTTACACCACGGTGACCAAAACTGGATGCAGTATTCCAAGTGTGGCCTTACCAAGGCATTGTAAAGTGGTATTAACACTTCACGTGATCTTGATTTTATCCCTCTGTTAATGTAGCCTAGCACTGTGTTGGCCTTTTTGGCAGCTGCAGCACACTACTGGCTCATATTTAGGTGATTGTCCATTAGGACTCCAAGATCCCTCTCACAGTTACTACTATTGAGCAAGGTACCTCCTATACTATATCTGTGCATTTGGTTTTTCTTGCCTAAATGTAGAACCTCGCTTTTTTCACCATTGAATTTCATTTTGTTAGATAGCGCCCAGTGTTCAAGTCTGTCCAGTTCCCTCTGTATCTTAAGCCTGTCTTCTGGAGTGTTGGCTATTCCTGCCAGCTTGGTGTCGTCTGCAAATTTGATGAGTTCCCCATCTATCCCCTCATCCAAATCGTTGATGAAGATGTTGAAGAGCACTGGACCCAGAACAGAGCCCTGAGGCACCCCACTTCACACTTCCCTCCTTGTAGATGCGGTTCCATTGAGGACCACATGCTGAGTACGGCCAGTTAGCCAGCTACGGATCCATCTGGTGGTGATGCTGTCTACCCCATATTTTTCTATCTTGTCAAGTAGTAGGTTGTGATTTACTTTATCAAATGCCTTACTGAAGTCCAAGTAAATTATGTCCACAGCATTCCTCTGATCCACTAATTTTGTCACTTGGTCAAAGAATGCAATAAGATTTGTCTGGCATGATCTGTTTTTTGAGAAACCCATGTTGGCTTTTAGTAATGACTTTGTTTGCCTGTAGGTGTTTGCTGATTCGTTGTTTGATTATCTTTTCCAGGATCTTCCCAGGTATTGAGGTCAGGCTGATAGGTCTGTAATTTCCTGGGTCCATTTTTTTTCCTTTTTTGTAGATGGAAACTACATCAGCTCTTTTCCAGTCCTCTGGTAGTTTCCCACTGCTCCAAGATCTTTGAAAAATATAGTTCAGTGGTTCGAGATCACATCTGCCAGTTCTTTGAGAACTTTGGGGTGTAATCCATCTGGTCCTGGCGATTTGAACTCGTCTAGACTGGACAGATGGTCACTTACCATTTTCTTGCCTATCTTAACTTGTGTTTCTATTCTGTTTTTTATGGCACTATTTTTGATAGGTTGGTCTGTTTTTTGCTTTTGTGTAAAGACAGATGCGAAAAACAAGTTAAATAGTTCTGCTTTCTCCCTGTTGCTTGTCACCTTCTTGCCACTTTCACCCACTAATGGACCAATCATTTCCTTCACTTTTTTCTTGTTTTTTACATGTTTTTTTTGTTATTTTTGACTTTGGTCGCAAGCCTTAGTTCATTTTGAGCCTTAGCTTTCCTCTCTTCATCTTTGCAGGCTCTGGCTATTTGCTGATATTCTGACTTAGATATGTGCCCCTCTTTCTACTTTCTATACTTGTCCTTTTTATCTTTCAATTTGTCAGAGTTCTTTATGCAGCCATGCTGGTTTCTTTTGAGAGCTGTTATTTTTCCTCTTTGTTGGTATTGTGCTACACTGGACCTTTATTATCTCATTTTTCAAAATTTCCCAAGCTTCTTGAGTTGTTTTCCTCTAATCTATATCTTATCCTAGACTTGTTAGATTCCAATAATTCCAGGCTTAGCAGATAAATTTTCACATAATGTCCACAAAAAGCATATACAGATTTTTTTTTTTAAAAAAAATGCTACTTTCAAGTACATTTATAAAAAGACATACCTTGTACCACTCAACCAACCACTCAATTTCTAAATACTTTTATGCATGGTAAGACAATGCAATAGATATCAATATAGTTTGGTTTCTTCTATTTTTCTTGCTTTGTTGTACAGTAGATGGCCAAATATAATTGCACAATGAGGAATATAGTACAATAACATATAGTAGAATAATAGATACCATACTTATAAACAGATTACTCTCCAAGAGAAGGTTCGCAAATCCATTTTGTTTGCAAGTCCAAACTAGTCCAAAAACATGCACAATAGCATCGCAGTAAAACCTGATAGTAATGGTGTTGGCTCGTCTTCAGGTGTGATATGACATGTTTCTTCCTCTTCTCAAAGAAGTGGTCCCGTGAACTTTTGGTGGCAGCCTTCCTCTTTTTCTCATAGATGACACTGTACCAGTGGATTGCATAGGGACAGCTGCAGACACCTTGGTAAAGCGCTTGATATTAGGGTCATCTTGAACAATGGCAGTTTTTTCTCAATCAAGCAAAAAACTTCAGCCATCAGTTTGATCTAAAGCCACTTCAGTGCTTCAATCTCTTCCTCTTGTTTTTGCTGGCTTTCCATTTCCATGAGGTCTTTTTTGAAGAAGACCTCTGTATGTGGGCCATTTGGAATATGGCATTTGGAGGTGAATACATGAACTTCACATTTGGGTGGAAATCATTCAGGTAAGCTGTTTGACCTGGAGGCATTATCTGAAATAATGCCTCCAGGTATTAACAGTGTCTACATTTCTTTGTTCAGTATGTGGCAGAACATTCCGTGCTAACATCGGTCTTATTAGCCACCTACGGACACATCGTTGATGGCCCATAACCCACAAGATGTCAAGGTCTTCATCAAAATCGATGGATGAACAACATATCTGAAATAAGCAGAATCTTGAATTCCAATTCTGGGGTGAAATGGTGGAAGAACCAGTCTTCAAAGATGAGAAGAATTAATCAAGGTTTCATATTAACTTTCCACATAACAGGAAGTGAGCTCTTGGAGATATTCTTAAAGAGACTGCAGATTCATGGAATGGTAGACTAGCAGTGGTTTTCAGCTTGGATTAGCAGAGGGTTCTGGCATCTAGCACCATAGTTAGCCTATTCTTTGCAGCTTTGAAGGTTGGCATTATCATCTCCTCCCTCCAGATGTAGGTTTGTCTGCTGTTTTCTTACAATAAATATCTAAATTGAATATCTGCTGAGGCAAATAACCACTTTTTTAGGAGAAAGTGGGAAAAGATGTCTGTAGAATATGTGGCACACCAGAAACTTTCCTGCCTTCTCCCAGTTCCAAGGATCTTCTCGGATGGACTCATGGAAAAGTCCATCCGAGTTCATATTGGTGAAAGTTTGCAATTTGAAAATTCTTAAATAGAGTAATATCTGTATTGTCTGATCTGTAATTTGTCTAACTCAGTATTATCTATACTGACATTTGTTTCTGAGGCTCAGTAGTATAGATGCTTCATAGCTTGTAACCACATTTGTGAATGAGCTGTACTCAGTCCTTTCCAAATGCCAACTACATAAACAAGTTACACACAATCATATCAAGTCAAACATTTATATCTAACATGACACTGTTTCTCTCTTTTCTGGAGTCAGCCATGATGTTGACTATGTGGACAGGTTTAGTAAATGCAACATGCAATCTAAGTATAATGCAATGAAACTTGATCTTTGAGATATTTGATAGGGTATATAATATATGAAAATTGATTTTCTAGCACAATATTTTTCCACAAAGTGTAGATACAACTTTGTAATATTGCGTCTCACTTTAAAATCCATTCAACATCCTGATATTTCCAAAACCATCTATGCCTACATGATCTGTTATTATTTTTCCTAACTCATTTCTCTCTAATATGGCATGATTAAACTTGCAAAGCAGTCATATCACATGCCACTTTACTTAGAAATAAATTCCACCATATTGTTTACAGTTTTTAGCAGTTCTCTAAATGATAGCATTTATGGGATTTTAATTTTTAGTGATGATATCTTAACTAGAATGTTATTTCTATTTCAGATAATACCATTTTAGACATCTGATGTATCATTTAAACAATAGCAGAAATATATATGTAAATTTGAGTTGCAGTGAAAAGAATACAAGTCAAATGTAAAGTGTTACAAAATGCAAAACAAAAAGAATAGAGTTTAAGTGATTTGAAATTATTTTTGGCAGCTTGCTGCTTAGTTTGTGTAAAAGAATGGATGCTGCCACAAGCAGAAGACTTGGAATTAGAAGAACAGGATTTAAGATTTGGGTGGCATGGATATCTATGGCATGATAAAGCTAAAGTTAATGTCAATTTTAAAAACCATTTTATTAGACATGCCATATTGAGAATATGGAACAAATATACACCTAATTTGTGGTGCTTATCATAGGAAACATTTTATAGAAAATAAATGATGCCTAAGCATAAATGGTTAACTTACTCTGATATATTAGCATTTGGTCAAGGAGAATGTAAAATAAAATGAAGGCAAGAGTTGATGATAGAAAGATTTTCACGTCAATGGTTTTCTTTGGTAGAACTATCAGAAATTTAAATTAGATAAACTAATTTCGAGTTAAACGTTTTAAGACTGAATTTGAAATGGAATTGTGTAAAAATGACGAACATGTCACTGCTAAAATGTATAAGCTTTTATTGAAATAATGCATGATAAAATGAACAAAAATCTTTGATTACAATATACAAATGCATCGGGGGAAATATGTGGTTCAAATGATTGAAATTTATATTATATTATTGTCTTAAATAAAATTTTTATAAAATGTTATGATTGGTGCATGTCACCAGAAAAATAGCCTAGCATGTATAAAGGTTCTTCAAATTTATGCTAGAAATTTAATAAAAAAGAAAGGTCATTTTATCATGTTTGGTGGACAGTGTTAAAAAGGTGGAAAATTGTGGAGTGAATTACATATATTACAGAATATTTTAAATAATAATATACAATTAAAACTAGAGACTTTTCTTTTGGGGCCGATGGATAAGCAATTGGAAAAAATCCACTGAACTTTCTTTTTGTAACTGCAGACTGACTATTATGTAGAAAGGTAGAAAGATTTGATTTTAACAGAGCAATGAATGGTGAAGTTAACTGAACTTGCTGAGATAGACAGCTTTAAGTAGAGAAAGGACACTGTCTAAATTTAATGTTGATTAGAAACTCTTTACTGACTTTTTGCAGGAAACAAAAAAATGAAATTATGGTATATGGTTTTAATGATTTTTTTAAAAAAAGATAATAGAAATATGTAAAACAATGCTGTAACCATAGCTCAAGAGGTCAATTTACATCTATACTTATAATTGCTATAAAAGAAAATTGGAAGTAGCTTTTTTATATTCTTTTTTTCCTTGTTTTTCAGCTCTGAATTTTTGTCTTTGTTCTTTTCTTATTTCTTTCCTTTTTCTTCTTTTTTTCCATTCTAAATATTAGTTCTTGTTAGGTTTTACCTTTTTTAATTTTTTTTTAATAAAGTTACATAGAGGGATTTTAAATTTTTAATTCTGTCATTAGAATTTGGATGGATAATTGGTGAACCTTGGATAGATTTCAAAATCTCTTTCCTCCAGGAAGAATAACCTGATAATTTATTGGCAACTGTCTGAAAAAATATTGGTGAAGTAAATGGTTGAAGGAAGGAAATATGTCAAAAAGAGAGGCAAGACTCTTTTTCTTATCACTAGCATGTGGCTCCTGATGCAGTGCCACTGACAAAAATACCATAATCTGTAGGGGAAAAAAAATCCCTCTTTTGTTACATAGCCTATTCCGAGAATGATTCCAAATGCTGTTTGCAAAATGTATACGTTACACTAACATCAAACATTTTAAAATGTGTGATACACCTACATTCTGGACATAAATCTGAATCCAAAATTTATTAAACAAAGGTCAGAATATTCTGTTCTGAAACTTTCCCATTAATTTCTGAAAAAGCTACAACACATATTAAGTAGTGAGAATTATTAATTAATTTCAGATAATAAGAAGAGGTATTATTCAAAGGAATCTGCTTCAATGGGAATCTATTTTGTCTCCTACTGGACAGCCTGCCAAACTCTGTTCTGCCAGGGACAAAAAGAGACATTTTATTGTTTTGATTGTCTATGGCTCTCAAACTTAACAAGACTTATTCAACATGAAAATATTCATATTAGACAAATACCGGTACTTATTCTCGACAAATCAAACAGTATCCTGAGGTCTAGGGCTTACATGATTCACTGCTGGATAAGATGAAATGGATTTATCACAGGGAATGATATGTAATGTATAAGTAATTCATTAATATCAGTTATTTTCAAAATAAAATATATAGTTCCACCAATGTCCTAAGATAACCATTCAAGGCTCTGCTCTGGCTGCTCTCAGATACCAAGATGAAGGAAGCACCTATACATGAGTGAACCTTCTCAATTACAGCCTACCACACATTCTACTTCCAAAGATATCACTTTTATATATATATTTTTGGCAACAGATTTTAGTAACTCTTCTTATAAGCCATTAAAACAGTTATGTGATCTTGCTGTTGAGTCCATGTTTTGAACTTCTTTCAGAAAGATATTTGTATATTTAATGATTAGTGCTACATATTATTTTAGTCTCCTTTTTCTGCTTGTTTTCTGCTTTTAATGTTTACACATATTTGAAGTTTACTGAATTTTATTTTTGTTTTATGTGGGTTATATACAGTAAATCACTTGAGATCATTCTGTTATACAATGCTAATACATTGAATGAATAAAGAACTACATTACGATGATATTGCTAGTTATCAGCTTTGCATTTTCCACATCATACCAAGTATCCTGGCAAGGTCATATGAGTGGAAAATCAAGCTGTTATTATCCTATATGATTAAAAAACAAATTTATGCTACATATAATTGTTCAATCTATTTCTTGCCTTTACAATCCTAAAACCATATTAAGTTCTTTAAACAGAACGTACAGTACAAAATGTCAGTATCTGTCTCTTCATACAATGGAGACTGTACTCAAGACATCAGAGTAAATACTGCTTTTCTACTTTGTGAAAAATCAAAACATTGGCCTTACAGCACTTTAGATGTTTCTAACATATCTGCCCTTGTTATTTTTTATTAATAAAAATATGTCAATGCAATTAGAATATATCACAGGATTATAAATATATATTATTTTCTGAATAATCAAACCTTTTAAATAATGGTTTACATTCATGCACCTGTATAAGACAGTACTGAATTTTTGCCATCTGAGAAGCAAAATGCCTCATTTGAAAAAAATATGGACCTCTTACAGTCTGTATGCATTGAGTAGTGAGTACTGGAATTTCCCTAAATAATATAAATACATGAAACCTGTCTGAACTGGCAGATTTTTCTTAGTAAAAAGAGAGAGAAGAGAAACTTATTTCTATTGATAATAACACTCTCTCGATCGCAAGTCACATATAGGTAGCCCTTGACTTACGACTGTAATAGAGTCTGCCCATTACAGTCGTAAGTTGTGATGGCTGTAAATCAGGTCACCAATGTGACTGACCCAATTTTATGACTTTTTTGTGATAGCTGTTAAGCAAAGCAATGGTTTGCCATTGGCTGATTTTGTCAAAAATTGGAAGTAAAAGCTGTTTTTTGGCAAAACTGTTGTAAAACATGGCCATGGGACACTGCAAATGGCTTGAAATGCAGGCCTGCTATTGAGCACCTGGAATATGGTCACATGATAGAAGGGCACTGGAATTTCAGAACTGGGTTATAAGTACCCACAACGTAGTCTGTCATAACTTCACATGATAAGAGAATAGTCGTAAGTCGAAGACTACCTGTAGTAGAAAGTCCTGGGTATCCATATTAGAAGAGAATACGTTCAGATGCATGTTCTTCTCCTGGCACTTTCAAATATGAGGATGCAGATCATAGTAATACAAAAGATGGAGCTCTGGATTGTGATAGCCATCTCTGTAAAAAAACAGGCCTAAAAAATTAATAAGAAATGTGTTAGAAGAGTTAATATACTTAGAGAAGCAGAAGAAATGTATAATAAATAGCATAGTGGGAAAGTCCCATTCTAAAATATAGACCTACAGAAAGATTTAGCAGGCACTAAAACTTTGACAGTAATTGCAGATAAATTGGAGAAGCAGAAAAGGATGCAGGTGTGGAACTGAATTTATTATATTGTAGAGTAACCTTGAAGTAAGCAAGCTGGATTGGAAAAAAATTGCTAAAAAAAGTTGTAAGATTTTATGGTTCCCATGTTTTCAACTTTATAAACGAAAATATATTTCATTCCTTCAAAACCTAATAGTGTAGAAGAAAAATGAGCTCAGTGGCATTTGTGCTGTTGGTATATGCTGTTCATGCTTCCATGGAATACAATTGATTTGATTGTTTTTCTGTTTTTTGGACAATAAAACAGGAAAATATTCAGGACAATTGTTATAACAGGAAAAATGAAATAGTAAAGGAAAAGTTTAAAGGAGGAATGATGATTTTGGAAAATATAATAGAATTGCTGAGATAAATAGCATATGAGTTAAAAAAAAACACCATTCTACCGCTCCTATGGGGTATACTCATCTTAATACTTAGGGCCATGCAGAAATTCAGTGTTTCTGTAAGGACCCACCCCACTTTGCATCTTAAGAAGACAGAACTCTTGGAATAGCTCTTCCAACAGGAATCCTTTATTAAGAGAAAATGGTTGCAGGCATGCTAGACAGGACTTGGGGTTCAAGCTCTCCCATTCAAGGTTTTAAGGGGTTCCCCAGTAGTCCCACCCAATCAACCCCCCTTCCAGTGATAGTTTCAAGTATCACAATTCCATCCCCTTTCTTCTTCCGTCTGGATGGAGACTTCAGATAACTACATGAAAGGCAATTACTCTTCTTTGATATGTTAACGCTTAGAGGCCACAATAAACACACATTCAGTCCTTTGAAGTGTGCTGAAGGAAGTGAGGGCCATAAAGCCCCTTTGCTCTCCCCCTTTTCTCCCTCTTATGGCAGAATCCAGAGAAGGCAGAATTGGGAGTTTCTATGTTTGATAATTAAAGATGAAATATAATTGGATTCTGACATCCGGCCCCTCTTAACAATAAGAGAGATCCACCTGAAAGAAAACACAAGTAAAGAATTTAGTTAGGCTTGTTAGGATACTCTGTGTGAAACTTCTTCAATAGCTTCGGAGCTCTGACGTGACGTTTATGGACCCACTCATTTTGTGAGGCAGGGAGGTGTTTCCAGGCAACTAGGTACTGAGTTGTTCCATGATATCTCCTAGAGTCAAGGATCTCTTTTATTTCGAAGTGTTGTTCCCCCTCCACCATGATTGGAGGTGGTGGTGGGGGGATTTTTGGCCGTAGAGGTGACTGATGCTCTCTTTTCAGCAAGCTGCAATGAAAAATTGGGTGTATTTGCCTGAGGTTTTTGGGTAATTCTAATTCTACTGTTACTGGATTTATGATCCTTTTAATTGGAAAAGGTCCTATATATTTTGGTCCAAGTTTTTTACAGGGCTGTAGGGACTTTAGGTATTTTGTAGATAAGTACACCATTTCTCCTATAATGAATGGTGTAGGCTCAACCCTTTTTTTATCGGCTTGTGCTTTGTCTGCCCGCCTAGCTTCATCTAGTGATTTTCTGACTATTGGCCAGGTGTTTTGTAGGTTTTCCATCCATTCTTTCATTGAAGGGATCGTTGGTTCTTTTGGGGTTAACTCTGGCATAGGGTTGAAACTTTGGCCGTTGGCTATTTGAAAAGGAGTGTAGCCTGTGCTGGAGTGGACTGCATTATTGTAGGCAACTTCTGCAAAAGGACGTAAGTCCGTCCAATCACTCTGTTGGAAATTTAAAAAACATCTCAAATATTGCTCAAGTACCGACTGGCACCGTTCCGCTTGTCCATCTCCTTGAGGGTGGTGGCTAGATGTCAATCCCTGAGTGGTCCCTAAGAGGGATAAAAATTCCTTCCAAAATGCAGACGTAAATTGCACTCCCCTATCATAGATGATGCGTTGGGGTGCCCCGTGCAATCTGTAAATGTGCTGGATGAAAAGTTTTGCTAAGGCCTTTGCAGTGGGAATTTTTTTGGCAAGGGATAAAGTGCACCTGTTTGGAAAATAGGTCCGTGACTGTCCAGATAACAGTATTCCCATTGCTTTCAGGCAATTCCACTATAAAATCCATGGCTATTTCCCTCCAGGGGGCTGAGGGACTTGCCACTGGTTGTAACCGCCCTGGCGATTTCCCTTGCAACCTCTTTGCTGATGCACAGGTTGGGCAGCTGGCAACATAACTTTCTATGTCCTTTTTTATTGATGGCCACCAAAATTGCCGTTTAATTAAGTGTAAAGTTTTTACAAATCCAAAATGCCCTGCTGATTTTGTGTCATGGCAAAGTTGCATGAAAGTTAGTCTTTGAGTTGTTGGTATATATAACTTTTCCCCTACCCAAGGCAATCCGTCTCTCATTGTGCACACATGTTTGTTTTTCTGGAACCAATCATCTGTTTCCAAACTTTTTCTGAATTCAATCCCAGTTTGGCTGTCCAGTTGTGGTTTTATTTTGGCTTGGGTTCTTGTGGTTACTGGCGCTGCCAGTTGTGATTCTGCCATTATTGGTCTAGAGTCTGTGGTTCGTGCGCTGTTATATTGGGGCATGCGAGATAGTGCATCTGCCAGGAAGTTCTTTCTTCCTGGTAAATGTTTGAGCTTAAATTGGAATTGGTGAAAATGCTGGGACCAGCGGGCTTGTTTGGGATTGAGTTTCCTGGAAGTTTTCAGGGCTTCTAAATTTTTGTGATCAGTCCATACCTGGAAGGGGATTTTGTTGCCTTCCAGGAACTGTCGCCACGTGAGTAATGCCCAACGTATCCCATAAGCCTCCTTCTCCCATACGGGCCAGCGCTGTTCTGTTTCCGTGAGTTTCTTAGATGTATATGCACAGGGTTGCAATACTGCATCATCATTTTCTTGTAATAGCACAGCCCCCACTGCCACATCACTTGCATCTGCCTGTATTATGAAGGGCTTGTCCATATCTGGGTGCCTTAGTACTGGTTCGGCAGAAAAAAGTCTCTTTAGTCTCTCAAACGCTGCTTGGCACTCCATTGTCCATGTTAGTGGCTGGCTAGGTTTTACTGAGGATGTTCCCTTCGTTTTTAGTAAGTTGTGAGGGGCAAGGCTATCTGTGCAAATGAGGGGATGAATTGGCGGTAAAAATTTGCAAAGCCCAGGAAACTTTGTAGTTGCTTTCTTGTGCGGGGTGGTGCCCATTCTAATACTGCTCTGACCTTCTCTGGGTCCATTTCAATGCCCTGTGGGGATATGCGATAGCCTAGGTAGTCTATCCTTTCCTGGTGGAATTCGCATTTTGAGAGTTTGGCATATAGGTGAGCGGCTCGCAGCTTCTTTAAAACCGCTCTGACAAGTTTGACGTGTTCTTCTTTTGTTTCGGTAAAGATAAGAATGTCGTCCAAGTAAACAAGGACCCCCTTAAACAGGTGCTCCCTTAGAACGTCATTGATTAATTGCATAAAGACTGCAGGGCCCCCTTGTAATCCAAATGGCAAGACTTTGAATTGATAGCACCCCATGGGGCAGTTAAATGCAGTCTTCCATTCGTCCCCTTCCTTGATTCTCACGCGATAGTAAGCTTCCCTTAAGTCTAGTTTAGAAAAAATTTTCCCTTTCGATAGGTGTGACAGCATGTCTTTCATGAGGGGCAGCGGGTATAGGTTGCTTTCACTGATTGTGTTCAGGGCCCTATAATCCACGCATAAACGTAAAGAGCCATCCTTCTTCTCTCTAAAAAGGACCGGGGCAGCCACTTTAGGCTTAGCTGGTTCAATGAAACCTCTCTCCAGGTTTTTTTTTATAAATCTTTCCATTTCCTCCTTCTCCTTTGGGCTCATGGAGTATAATCTGGGTTTCGGGAGTTTTGCCCCAGGCTTGAATTCAATGGTACAGTCTGTGGGTCGGTGGGGGGGAAGCTCATTCGCCCTCTCCTCACTGAAGACTTCAGCAAGGTCCCTATATTCCTCTGGTATTTCTGTTAATCTTTTTTCCTCTCCTATGGATGCTTTTTCTATTCTTGATTCTGGTAGCCTCCCTTGGGGTTTTAAGTCCATAGGGTCCCCCTTCGGGAATTTGATTTCTGTCGTCCTCCAATTTACCCAGGGGTTCCATTTTTTCAACCATTCCATCCCTAGAATCATTGGGCATTCCATACCTGGGGTCACCACAAACGTTATGTCCTCTTCATGTTTGCCCAGGGAGAGGTGTATTGGTAGAGTGGCTAGGGTAGCTGGCACCCCCCCTGCTATGGATCCATCTAACTGGCCAAATGAGATTGGTTGTTCCAGTCTCCTGGATGGGATGCCCAGATTCCCCACTAGTGTTGGGCTAATGAGGCAGCGGGTGCAGCCAGAGTCTATTAAGGCTTTCACCTTCACAGCTTCGGGCATGGGGGGGATTAATATAGTCACTGTTTTGAAGATGGGTGTGATGCGTCCACTTACCAGGGGTTCGCCTTCCGAGCTGTCATCTGAGGCATCCACCGTCCCTGTGGTGTAGGCTGGAGTTCTTTCCCCTTGGTGAGCAGAGGTGGGGTTTTCTGCAATTTCCATCATTTTCATGGCTGTTTCTTTTGGCTTAGCTGAATACCCTCTGGGTTTGTTGATTGGGGATCTGTCTGGGTTGTGCTGGGGGGCCTTTGAGCGGCATTCTACAGCTCGATGCCCTTCTCTTCCGCACTTGAAACACCCCATCTGCTTCTTGGCTGTATCCGATGATTTCACCGGTTGGTGTGTCAGCTCAGGCGGGGGGCGGCTCCATTGTTTTCCTCGGCGATGCCTCTTCAATATGTCGATCTCTGCTTCCTCTGCCAAGACGTACCATTCCTCAAGTCGATGTGGGTCTCCTCGGGGCAGGCAAGCATCATATAGATCATAGTTTAGTCCGTCTTTGAAACGGCCAAGGAGGATGTCTTCTGGCCAATTCAGTTTGCTGGCAATGGCTCGGAATTCTTGTGTATACTCAGCCACTGGGCGTTTGCCCTGCCTCATCGTTGTTATTCTTTCACGGGCTTTGCGATCAGCCAGGGGGTCTTCAAATCGTCTTCTCAACGAGGACATGAAACGGTTGAAGTTACTGAGTTCTGGGGCATTGGAGTCATGCAGGTTCACCACCCAATCTGCAGCTGGTCCATCCAGGGCAGATTGCACGATCCGGATGCGGGCTTTGTCGCTGGGGATGTCCTGCCCATATTCCTCCATGTAGCTGAGGACTTGGGTTAGGAAAAACCCCAAGCGTGTTGGCTCCCCTTTGAATTTCACCTCCAACGGTGGACGTCTTGGAATGGATCGGTGCCTCCATTGTGGGTGGTAGTGTCTTCCGTCCAGATTTCCATCTGTGGTCCGGTAGGGGGTGGGAGCTCCTGGATCAGTAAATGTCCCTGGGGTTGCAGGTTCCACGTCCCCCTCGGTGTCTCTCCCTTTGTGGCTCCAGGAACTGGGGCGGGCGTAGGGCTCAGGAATCTCCTCTCCTAGGGAGCTGAGAGTTCTCTTCATCAGGTCAATAGCTCTCTCTAGGATCCAGTCTGAGTACGGCATACAGCTTCCTCCCTCTTCACTTGCGTGCAGGGATTTCTCCATCTCCTGCTTCCATTCTGGTTGCTTGGTCCCCCGTCTCAGGGTCACTTTTCTTGATTCCTTTCCCCACTCGCTTTTCTTTCCAACGCCCATCGACCAGCGAGGCTTGTGGTCCTGTGTCTCCACCACTTCTTCTTCTGAGAAATCTGGCCTCTCGGATCCCAACATCTGGCAAGGTTCCAACTGGGTCAGCGGCTCTCTTTCCAGGGAGTTTTCTCCCTCTCTTGCTTCGTTGTCTGACATGGTAAATTTTTGCAAAATCCCCCGGCAAGGGTCTACCTTCCAGGTGGATTAATTTTGCAAGTCCTGTCTAATGTAAGGACCCACCCCACTTTGCATCTTAAGACAGAACTCTTGGAATAGAACCAACAGGAATCCTTTTTAAGAGAAAATGGTTGCAGGCATGCTAGACAGGACTTGGGGTTCAAGCTCTCCCATTCAAGGTTTTAAGGGGTTCCCCAGTAGTCCCACCCAATCAACCCCCCTTCCAGTGATAGTTTCAAGTATCACAATTCCATCCCCTTCTTCTTCCGTCTGGATGGAGACTTCAGATAACTACATGAAAGGCAAAACTCTTCTTTGATATGTTAACGCTTAGAGGCCACAATAAACACACATTCAGTCCTTTGAAGTGTGCTGAAGGAAGTGAGGGCCATAAAGCCCCTTTGCTCTCCCCCTTTTCTCCCTCTTATGGCAGAATCCAGAGAAGGCAGAATTGGGAGTTTCTATGTTTGATAATTAAAGATGAAATATAATTGGATTCTGACAGTTTCGTTTTGCAGCAAAGCTAGAGAGAACTTTCGAAGAAGATACACATGATATCCAGAAACTGTATTAATTTCCAACAAAAAGTCATTCTGGCAAATTTACTACAAAGTTAATATTTTCTTTTTGATATACTCATCATGAGAACTATTTTTCTATGATGATTCCCTGGAAAGCTAGGTATGATTAATGTAACATTATATGAATATTCTTAACAAACCTTCTGTGGATTTTCCAAAAGTTTTTGCAATATATGATTCAATGAGCTTGAATCTATAAAGCAAAAAAGACATGAGCTAGGCAATAATCTATGTATCAATGGTTTAATTTAGATAGTATGCTAAACTAGAATATAGTGGTATTAGAGCTCTGTGGGCAGCAGAAATATCTGTGCTGAGAAGCTTTGAAGGATTTAGCTTCTATCTATCTATCTATCTATCTATCTATCTATCTATCTATCTATCTATCATCTATCTATCAATCAATCATCTAACTGGTCTCCCATCCTACCACAGGGTAACTCTGGGCAGCTTAGTACTGGGATAGGCATAGTACTTAGTAGATTGGTGAGTATTGGGGTGGGAGACATCTGGGAATACCAAGGCTGTAAGCTAACCAAGGAATTTGAAACACAAATCAAATCAATAAAGGAGAATATTGAAATGAGGGATTCTTGCTGCTCTCTGAGCTTGCTTGTTTTTCTTGCAGATGTTTCATTATGCAAACTAGGTAACATAATCAGTGCTAGTAAGGAATGTGCTTTGCTATCAGTTTATATTCCAGTGGCTTGTGCTCTCAGTGTCGGTAGGGGTTGGTCTTAGAGATTCTTTGGTTGGGATGTTTACTCTTGGCTTCTTTGGCAGTTTTTTGATTGGGGTATTGCTTACTTAATTTTGTACTGATGATGTTACCTAGTTTGGGTAATGAAACATCTGCAAGAAAACAAGCAAGCTCAGAGACCACCAAAGAACCCTCAAATCAAATCAAATCAAATCACAAGACTAGCATAGATCAGCATAATTTGAAAAAATATCACAGAAGACAATGGCAAACACTTCAATTAAAACTGCACAGCTGTATCTATGAAGTTATCAGGAATCTATCTTGACTTGTAGTTTTATGTAGTATTATTTGTCTAGAAATAATAAAGTGCAGTGCACAAATAAAATAAAAAAATTAGAAATAGTCTTATGTAACAGATATTCCAAATGAAATGTAGTATGCATACCCGAACCTTTGAACTGAGTCCTCAATGGGAAGGAAGGAAGGAAAGGCGGTTGAACCTTTTTGCCTGAAAAATCAAGGCAAATTGATGATAAAGATTGGAGATGGAGAACATAGCAAGAATTCCAAAGTCTAAGCAGAAGTTTCTTAGAACTTCCTTGAGAGTTAGCGACTTTACCCTTGGAGACTTAAACTCCATTAGCAGTTAATAAATTAATGACTTTAGATTATCCTCTTCCTATATAAAAGCCTCTATTCAAGAACAAATGTGTTACTGGAAACAAAATCTATACATTTTGTACTTTATGACCAAGCATCTTGCATACTGTGCCTTGACTCACTAAGTCCTTGGCCTTTAAACTTGACCTGATTTCTCTTTGCATCCCTCAGAATTTAACCTGGATTATTTATTGGTTTAGTTTACTCAATTACTTTTTGACTACCCTTTGCTTGATCCACAAACTGCAACATGACATAGTGCTGAAAAAAAATTCAAATGTCCAAATTTCAAAAGAGATAATTCTGGTAAGATAAATACTAGGAGAAGTTAGCTTTTCACCTTCAATAAATCTAAACCATATTAGATAGCAATCTTAAATTCTCTCCATCATTACATCCACCTTCACAAGCTGGAAAAGACAGGTGTTTAACAGCCATAGTGGAACCAACATTCTCAACTGCAACTACAGCAGGGACTTTAGCTTGCACTCAACCTAGATATTAACCTGATTAGTTTACTTACACTGACAAAAACTTAATCCTTTTCTGTAAATCCAATATTAACAATTTATATCTATTCAGAATATCTTCATAACTATCAGACCCATCTCTTCATCTGATGTTTTGACATTTGGTAGAATCATCTATTTTATCAAATGGAAAGTAATTAATCTGTTTATCTGTGATCACATTATGAATGTTTATTTGCCTATTAATAACCAACAGCACTTTCAAGCTCAAAGGGAACCAATATATTGTTACAATAGATTGTGTGGAAAAAGATCTGAAAATAAATGATAGTGAAATGAATTACTTCTTCCCATATAATGCATAGAATGGAAAAACACATATCAGCTTCTAATCAATTGAAAACATGTAATTATCAGCAAAGCAACTGATACTAATAGCTATCACGACAATAACACACTCTAGACCAGTGGTCCCCAATCTTTGCGGCTTGGCGACCCGGATTTGGGGGGGGGAGAGGGAAACCAGGTTGCATGAGCAATAGGCCAGCATCAAGCTGCCTGCATGTGTGTTGGCCTGCCATTCATGCAGCCTGGTTCCAAATAGGCCTTGGCCCAGTAGTGGGCCATGGCCTGGCGGTTGGGGACCCCTGCTCTAGACCATCCCTAATAAAAAGCTAACCAAAGCATACAAGAAGTTATAAAACAAAACCCAACTTTTCCACTCATTGGTTGGATCTCTGCCTTACATAGCTCTTTTAGGCAGCGTGGGTGGATTCTGACAGGTATCTAGATAGAGGTGGTAGTAGCAGCTGCCTTGAAGATGTACTTATTCCTGAAGAGGGCATTTATTAGGCAATTTCTGCCCAGTGTCTAATCTGTCCTTTTTAGGGATGTTTCGGGGAAACTTGAAGGATGTCAACTGCAGAGAACCTTGGATTTTTTGAATCTAGGATTTAGTCAGGGCAATGGCTGGAAACTTAGGGGAGAAACCTGGAAGAGAGAAGCTAGGAGGAGCTGGATGGAGGGGGTTCACCCTTCCTGGTCTTATTAGACAACACAGTTGCATTCAGACATCTACAATGGACTGTCGTAAAGATTCGGAGTGGCAAACATGATGGCTCCTTTCCTTTCTGAGTGAGCAGTTCAGGATGAAAGTTGTAAAGTTATGAAAAGGTGAACCCATGACTGATGCAATTTGGGATACCACAGGACTCAGCAATCCCATTTTATTTAAACTCAAGATAAAATCATTGGGAGAGGTTATCCATTAATTTAAAGTATTGATCAGTACAATAACTCAGTACATTTCCTTGCAAGCTTTACTGGAGATGCAGAGGAGTTGGATGATTGAACAATCTCAAAACAATGGAGGCACTGTTCATGCATAAACTATTTGACTTCATTTCAGCTTCTATATTGGTTCTGCACTTCCCTGAAGCAGCCAATCTGAGATTCAGAAGAAGGAATAGAGTGGGGACCCAATTTAACAATTCTAGACTAGCTTCACCAAGAACTATAAACTCTTGAGTATGCAAATAAGTATTGGTTAATTTCTATAATGGGCAGAAAAGACAATTCCAAATATGTATCTTACTATGGTCCCAGAAAACAAGTGTCCACCAAAGACCATCCATGCAGAATCAAGACTGCAGCAAACCCAAATAATTTTAGATTACTGAATGTAATCTTTGACTCAATAGTTATTCACAGTGTAAAGAATTATTTGCAGTTCTTTGCAAAATAAGAACAGATAACTGATCAAATAATTACTAATAAAATATTATTAGCTGTCACAAATCACTTTGGATAGCATATAAATTTAATAAATAAATAAAATAAATGTTTCAAATACTGATTACGTTTACCTGAAATTATTGTTCTCTTCTACCAGAACAGCAGAAGAGGCTGCCCAAATTTGCTTCAAATTAAGACTGGGATAAGAAATTTTAACATTTATTTTAAGAATACATATCTGCCAAACCAAGGCATAAACTGAATGTCAACTGTATTGGGTATTTTCTAGTGTATCAGGGAAACAATTTGTAATTTGCTTTGAAATTAATATAGGATATTAACAATATAAAAGGTAATCTCTAACTCACTTGAGTTGAAAATTAATTTTATGCTTCTAATATGTATATTAGAATGAAAGCTGTGTTGAATTAAGTATCTGATACATTCATTTGTACCTCTATGAAATTAAGCCACAGTACACATTGTAGCAAAGTAAGCAAAGAAAATGAATGATGCAGTCATTTACTGGTGTATTTTCAGTAAATTGTTTCACAAACACTGAAGCAATAAAAATAGGAAAATTTAGATTTTTGACTATTGTAATAGTAAAAATATGAATTATGGTAAAATAAATTGATTAAATAAAAATAAGCACCAAATCTGGTATTTAAACAATATGCAGCTAAAAGAGATTTTTGAAATCTTGCTACCCTAGGATCAGCAATGCAGGAAGTTCTACTGCATCCCTAATTTTAGGTTTTTTTTGGGGGGGGGGCAGCTAGACTCAATAGAAAAAAAAATCAGCAAAAAAATTTACATAGAATATCTTTTTCCTTTATTGCTATCAGAGCCTTCTACCAATAATCAGTAAACAATAATATTTCAGGAACAAATCTATCTAAATTCAGATTAATAAGATTCATTAAGCAAAATTTTAGTATGGTCACACAAGAATCCCAACAAGTATTTCTGGTTTCATATCTGAATTTTACATTTAGGCAATTCAAAATAGTTAGCTCCTTTCTTTCTCCTGTCCTTTCAAAGGTGGGAGGAGTTTATCTCTTCTGAGAGCTCTATGCCTTCGTATTGCTCATGTAAGGGCTGCTGGCACCATCTTTGTGAGAATCTACATAATATACAAAGGCTCCATAATGAAAACAAAGTCTTAAATTGAAGAAGTACTTCTTCATCAGATTATAGCAATAAACTATACAGAAGTAACCTAGAGAAACTGCTGCTGAACCACGCCTGAAGTTTGTCTATGTAACAGATTAGTGCAATTGAAGAAATAACTCCAGAGATCTGGTATTTATAAGATTCTGAAGCAATCTAGAAGTTTCATTCTGTATGCCAATCACTGGGCTGTTTTGCACACTCCTTATTCCTCTTTTTTGGCCCCGAGTTAATGTCTCACCTTATATAACATAACAACAGCATAGCTTCAATAAAATATATCTAATTTATTACATGTTGTAAGAATTGTTAAGGCAGTTCAATACACGCTCCCACATAAAATCCATTAAACAAAATGGAATTTATTTCAGAATAGGACTGTGTTACAAGGCCTGCACAGACTCAGATCATGAAATTCTTAGTTCCCTAGAAAACTTCATTTTTACTATTCTCCAGAATTATTCTCACAAATAAAAAGGGTAAACTACACAGTTAAATAGAACTGTGGAAACTTGGCACAACTCTTTTCTGTGTTCCTATTCATTTTGTTCTGTTGAGGAGTCCTCTGCTTCTGCCCCCTCATCCTCCTCTTCCATAGAGATATTCATAACTCATTATATTCACAGCTATTGACAGTTATACCTAGCAATCATTTTCTGTACATCAAATAGTTATCTGTTTCAAGCTGGGTTCTTTCAAAACCAATTTAGCTTCTATTTAGTTTATCACATGCCTGTTTGTTTAAAATGCATCCCATTTCTTTTTTAAAGCTTATGATAAAAATATGATGCACTAGTGAGAGATAACATGTGCCATTTTTCATATATGAAACCCAAAGCTTCTATGGTCTAGAAACATTCACATTCTAAAATAAAATAGAAACTAGGCAATAGTAAACTGAGAACTGAGAACTAAACAGCAGATACTCCATTTGATCCTCATCAAAAAGTCAAGAAGTATAGATTGCATTTTGACATTGAGGCTCATGTATATTTAATTCTATGGAAGAATTCTACTTTAAAAACAAGTGGTAAAAGTATGGGTGGAATCTGGAAGAATTACCTTAAATCAGGGGTGTCAAACTGCCGGCCCACGGGCTGGACGCGTCACCAGGAAACTGCGCCCATTCCATTGCTGGCAATGGAGAAAAACATGACATCGCAAGTTTGACATGTTTGCCTTAAATCAATTACTTTGTAATAATCATTGTAAGGATTATTACAAGATCAAATTTCATTTGCCTAATTCACAAGAGTGGCATTAGTATTAGACAGTGGAAATTAGCAAGAACATCAGGAAGCAGTTTGTGAAGTAGCAGTTTGTGAAGTAGCCAAACAGGACCTTAAAAATGGTGCAACTACCTTTTAAAAAAGTTTTTAAACAAGTTTTTTAAAAAGTTGCTTTATAGATAGCATAGACACTGTACTTGTTGCACACAATGGTGGCCTTGGGCATCATAGGAATAAAGGTTTTATAGTAAAAGTGCATGACCTATGGCTCCAAGGATATACACGTTTCTACAGAGATTTGAATGCAACCTTCAAACCCTTTTCTAATTGTTATTATACTGTAGATTTTCGTCAACAAGGGAGAAAATGTTAAATATCTGGCCTTAATCATACAAAAATAATTAATTAATTTCAGTTACATTTAAATGAAATTATACTGAGTTTTGTCTTTATTTCAGTTCTAGACACTTTTTAAAATATGAGTCCAGAGTGTCAAAAACATTCAGCTTCAGTATGAAAAAAAGTTGTACAGCTCTAAACTAGAAACTTCAAAGGCCATGGAAACAGACTGAAAGGTCTGAATGGTTTTACATTTTGTTTTAAATTTGAAGATTTACAAGGTATTTAAAAGCAGTTTTTCTTGAACAATAAATCCTGTCAAGGGCATTCCAACTATGTGGTTTGAAGTAAGAATATGAGGCATCAGCAGATTAGGCTAAGACAGTGTTTCCCAAACTTGACAATTTTAAGGCATGTGGACTTCAACTCCCAGAATTCCACAGCCAGCGTTGCTGGCTGTGGAATTCTGGGAGTTGAAGTCCTCATGCCTTAAAATTGTCAAGTTTGGGAAACACTGGGCTAAGAGATATAAACAAATTAACATAGTCTCAACAGATTATGATGGTTCATTTATTTCAACTTTTTCAGCTATTAAAACTTAATCAGTAAGAATTGGAAGCCTATTCTTAAACAGCATAATATAATGATTTTAAAAAGGTAAACTTTTGCATATTCATGTACCTTACCACATCTGTTTTTTATGGGATTAAAGAATAGCAAATCTTATTTTACAGCAGAAGTGATGTGATGGCAGCTATCAAATGTCTTCAGACTCCATAGCCCGTTTGGGCAACTGATTCAAGATATTACTGAAAAAGGAAGCAAAAAGGAAGTTACTTGGAACCTGGAACCAAAGAAATAGTATTTAAAATAACATTTACAATCTGCAAATTAGAACCAAATCTCAAATTAATTGATATTTTTAATTTGTAAAATCTTGGAAGCTTTTCAAAGGGCCAAGGTTCTCTGAAATACGGCCCCAAAATAGAAATGAGATTTACAAATGTTCTCAACTACTCTCCTGTTAATTTTAACTATTGCAAGGGTGAACAAGATGGATGTTTTGTATTGCCACTTTATCCATAGATCTTTCCTTAAAAAGTTTCCAAGTTAGTCAGAACTATTTGCTACATCCTGGAGGATAGCTATCAAATTTGGGCAGTATTGGTAGAAAACTGCTGTAGTGCACAAGGCATATTTTTTGGGAAACAGTCTTGATGCATTTTGTAATATTTTTTCTTTGCTTATAAGAACCACAGTAAGCAATGGTACAGGTAGTTCTCAACTTATGACCTTTTGTTTAATGACAGTTCAAAGTTACAACAGCTTTGGAAAAAGCGACTTATGACTTGTACTCATACTTATGACCATCATATCATCACCATGGTCTTGTGATTGCAATTTATATGCTTGGCAGCAGCTTAATTGCAATTGATTTAGAGCTGTGGTGGCAGAGTGGTTAGAATGCAATATCGCAGGTTAATTCTGCTCACTGCTAGGAGTTCTATCCTCACTGGCACAAGGTGGGTTCAGTCTTCTATCCTTCTGAAGTCAGTAAAATGAAGACCCAGATTGTTGGAGGCAATATGCTGATTATGTAAACTGCTTAGAGAGGGCTGTAAAGCACTATTAAGTGCTATTGCTGTTGAATTATGACTGGTTGCAGCATCCTGTGGTCATATGATTCTGATTTGCAACCATTATTTTTTACAATTTCCCACAATAAAAACCAGCAAAGAGGTCCATAGAGCAGTGGTTCTCAACCTTTTTAATGCTGCGACCCCCAACCGGTCATAAGTTGAGGACTACTCAACCGGTCGTAAGTCGAGGGCTACTCAACTGGTGCAGCACCGTTTGCAGAATGGGACTTTTGGCGGGCTCAGCAGGACAGAGACAGCCTGGACAATTCCTATTGGCTTTTGAAAGCCATAGAATTAGACTCTATTCAAGAGAGTCTATTCTATTGGCTTTCAAAAGCCAATAGAATAAAAGGGAGTAGCACAGCTAAGGAAAAGGGGGAAAAAATGGCGGACTGCGTTGTTTGGCGACCCCCGTGAAATAGTCGTTCGACCCCAAATGGGGTCCCGACCCACAGGTTGAGAACCACTGCCATAGAGGAAGCTAGCTTAACAACTGGGTAATTTGCTTAACAACCTCCTTAAAGATTGTTTTAAATAAAGTCTATCTCAACTCATAGCCAGAATGACTTATGATGGAAATTCTGGTCCCAATTGTGGTTGTAAGTTAAGGACTATTTGTAGTTTTTGGAGGAAAAAAAACTACAAAACTGTTAAGCTTCAAAACTTAGAAATGCGTTCAGAAATAATTGTTCTGATACAAGCTATGATTGATATGTGGTAAAAATATTCCAGGAATAGGAGTTTTGCCTAATATGGAACTTAAAGGTGTAATGACTTTCAAAGTAGTAGTGAAATTGGGGTATACAGAGACAAAACAATAATGTTGGCATATTTACTGAATCTACTCAGTTTTGCAAAACTACATTGGTTTGAAAATTTGCAAGATCTCGCCTCCTGCCTCCCCAAAACACCTGACAATTTCTTGAGCGTAGTCATTATTTGTGAGAAAAGCAGTAGTAGTGAGAATTCTCACATTTCAGTTCCTAAACATATTGTCTCAGACTACAGAATGTTATACAACACTGTTTAAGTAGAGAATAGTTTACATCTTGTAAGAAAAGAAGAAGTCTTGATATCTCATTGATTTATTTATAAAAGTTTAAATAATTATAATCTATATAAATAAAAATGTAAATGTTTGTTTGTTCAAAATCTTAAATCTCTGAAAGTTCTTAACCAATTGCTTTGAAATTTTGACACAACGTTGCATTCGAATGCGCGCGTGTTTTTATATACTTACTATTATATAGATGTCACACCTGTGACAGGTAAAAACATGCTTTTTTTGAAAAACAGCGCCATCTGTTGGACATAAAAGCAACACACGCTACGATTTCAGACAATCTCTGTATCTGCACAGACAATGGAACAACAAAAAATATTGTATACCCACAAGCACTGTGAAATTAAACATATTACAAACGTGCGCTCTTTTCTTTCTTTTCCATTTAACCAGACTGAGCCACAGCAACGCGTGGCTGTGTACAACTAGTTATTTATAAAAATATTATATATTGGTTTTATTATCCATGCTAGCGAGGATTCTTTATAATTAACATTTATAAATTGCTTTAACTAATTCAAAATATGGTGACATATAAGTGTTACTTCTAATCACAGTCAGAGCTAATACAGAATTGGGGCGACCACAATTACGACTGTCCATTCAAGTGCCTCTTTGTTTAGTTCACATCAAATTAAGGCTGCTATTTCTTTTCCTTGATCTTTTGGTCTTTGAATGCTTGGACAGAGCAACAGTGGGAAGGAGAAAATCTAGGAAATCCTGTGGGTCATCAACTTATCCTGCCAAGTTTTAGACCACTGAAGATGCTAATTCTTGAATAGACCTGCGAGCATTTCTCAAAAAATTTAAAGATAGATGCAAAAAGTTTTATTTTTATTCTGAAAAGTTAACCAAACTGATTTTAACAATCTTCACAACGTGCTGTATTACTTTAGAACAATAAGCACTTTTTGTATAATTGTATTGTATAATTGTATAATTTGCTCATAAATTAATCAAGTTTGGTATATTAAATTTATAATTTATGTTTGATTCATAAAGTTAAATTCAGTTCGGGAATAATTTTGCCTCAAATTAAGAAGTTGTAATTTTCATGGATTATAAAAATACAGAAATAAGTAGTCATCCACCCTATTTATAGGCCTTTCAGTCCTTTGAGCTCTAGTAAGACTGGCAGGAACATATTCGCCTATGAAATTAAACAACAAAACCTATAAGCAAAGTAAGGACAGAATCTATTTCTCATGAGAATGGCAATGCATTCCTGGAGGGGAAAAAAATGAAATGTTGTATTTACTGCTTATTCTTAATATAGATCTGTTTACAATCCTATGTAGAAAAAATTCCACGTTGCATATACACATAGATAATGCAGCATCCTATGAAATTTTTTAGTGGCATAGATGCAACAATTTCAAATTGCAATAAACTGATTTTTGAAAGCAATGTATAAAAGAATATCATGGGGCTAAATCACTAGGCAAACATCTTTGGATCCCAGCCAAAATATATTAGTCTAATTTATATATAAATTAACTGAGCTATATGGGTTTTTGTTCCAGACCCCTCCAATAATGAGTATTTTGCAATCAACCTACCCACAATATCAACAACATTTTATAGTTACCCTTTGCCAAATAAAATAATGAGATACCTTTTTTTAGAATACAAATCTTACTTCAAGGAAGAAAAGGATAACTTATGGATGAAAGTCCATGTCATGTAGTTGAAAAGAGTTTATGGACATCTAGACTGGAGTCAGAACTATATATAATGGATAAATTCTTTCAGAACAAATGAATGGACATTGTTTGAACATCTTTAAAGTATATACATTATTTTTATCTCTTCTTAAAACCAGAGGGAAGTTTAATTTATTCTTATTAAAATCTAGGAGTAATCCAACATTATGACTAAAGAAAAGCCCAAATAATTTAAGCAATATTTCAATTTAATATTATATTAATTTAAAACATATCAGAGGTACTGTAGAAGCAAAGAACTATTGTAATTTATATTCTTGTTTCTTAATTCAAATGTAAAGAATTAAAAAATGTAGCTTGACACTTTTCTAAAAAAAAAAAAATAAACCTCAGGAAAGATTCTGTAATATATTCAGATTAGAGATGTTCATCTATAAATGCTCTGCAAGATCAATTTTTAATATGTACATGAGGAATATCAAGAAAAGTTTGCAATCAATAATTATAAACAAACGACAGAAGGAAGAAATCCAGGCTCTTTGACTTGTGAAGGCCATGAAGAATAGTTTATAGCAGCTAACACAGACATGTCAAACACAAGGCCCGGGGGCCGGATGCGGCCCATGAAGTGGTTTCATGTGGCCCGCGAAGCCATCCTAGAAACAGTGAGGGAACGGCCCCCACTGCCTTGGCCCAGGCCAGCCGGGAGCCAATGTACAATTTTGTGGTGGCCATCTTGGCACTTGCCCCGGTGGACCATGCCTTGGCACTTGCCCCAGTCCCACCCCCTTCTGCCAGAGACCCTCAGATCTTTCCCACTCCTGCCCAGGCCCCATAGGCACCCTTGACACGAATGATGTAGAACTGGCCACGCCCACCCAGTAGGCTACACCCACTCCATCCACGCCCACCCAGTTGGCTGCACCCACTCTGGCCACACACCCCCAGGGCAATTGCAATGCTGATACGGCCCACAGTGAAATTGAGTTTGACACCCCTGAGCTAACAGAATAAAGTCTCCCAAAGTAAGGAACCTGCCTACTTCTTTGGAGAATATGGGAATTCAACCCAAAATACAAGTTAATACACACCACCATGTATGAAAAAAGCAGTCACAGAGTAAGGCAGGAGATTCATAACGTTGAACAGTAAAGAAATACAAATTGACCAATCTGCACATTTGGGTCAACAATGACAACTTTCTACTCCATACTAAATGTTTTCCTTTTTTAAAAAAACAACATGTTTTTCCTATGTGCATTCTAAATTAAGGAATGTAATCTATAAAGTCTTGCTTTCCTGCTAGATTATTGCTCATTGAGAGTGCTAACAACTCCAGAGCTGCCCACCATCTTGGCTTCATGACTGTACACTAATCAATATTAAGCTCGATGTTCTAATGTAAACAGTGCTTTTTTTCTTAAAAAAAAAAAAGGTACCACAACTCAAACACGTCATACAATCCGCCTTGCCTACCCTACAAGGTTCCATCCAAAAAAGGTGCTGTAACTCCGTTCTGGGCATTCTATGAGAAAAAAAAGCCCTGGATGTAAATATATAATTTCAGTGAGAATGTTTACATCTGGAGAACAATTTACTGATCTCTCCAGCAAATGAACATACGACTGTTGAAGAAGAAAGTAAGATTATAAATACAGATAGATAAGATAAACGAAAATCTTACCTTACGAGAAAACAGAATTTGGTAAAAAAAAAAAAATACCCTACAAATTTAATTCTGCCTATAATTTAGAGCTTCATATATTATTTAATTTGTATTTATGCATAGATGATTGAATTGGTATTTATGTTCAGTCTATTACAGAGGAAAGACAAATAACTGACTCCACAACTTGGTCTTGGGCATTATATGCCAGAACTACAAGTAAATATAATTCAGGATTCTGCAATGTAGTAATAGTAGGTGGTGATGCAGCAAAATGGCTACCCAGAAAGCTATATAGCATTGTTTCTCTTCTTCAAGCACTTCTGAAATACAAAAATCTTTTTAAAATGTGTTTTTGTAAAGGTACGGTAAAATGTTTATTTAAAAATAAATGTTTAATTTAAAAATAAATATTAAAAAACCTAACTGTGGGGAGGGGATAGAGGAAGCCACAATTCTCCATTCTGTCTTCCTTACAGAAACTTAAGCTTCATTTGTGCTATTTCCTCCCAATTATAAATGCAATATAGTATTTCCCTCAAACTCTTATTTTTTTAAATTATGGGAGAAAATGGTAGACAGAGTTACCACACCCAGATCAATACAAATGACTATCTGGTGCAAGACAAGAAAATGCAAAATGTGACCGTATTTTAAGTCTGTATTCTGGTTGAAACAGGGTGAGGGAAATCAAAGGGAGGTATCAAGTTTATAATCAAACATTATTTCCTGAACCATGCAAAAATTAAAAAAAATAAAATCCAGGAGGGAAAAATACCTCAAGAAAATGATTCTGCTCCCAGCAACAGCAAGTATCTTCCAGATATAAATCCAGGACTCTTTTTGTACGAAACAGAAATTAATAGCAATAGTACCACCGGATCTGAATATATTTCGCCAGCAACAAAATGGACAGGAGTCATCACTGAACTATATATTCTCCTGCTGTTAGCAGAGTGAAAGTAATACATGCTGATACCAGAACATTTCTGATTAAGAACACAAGTTTTGGTATGATTTTTAAGATAGATTCCCCTCCTCCCCACAACTAATTTTTGTTAATATCATTTAGTCTGTTAAAGAAATAGTAGATTCAAGTTTAGATGCGTCACAATCACCAGCAAAAATGTACAGTTAAGAATTGGGTCCATCTGTTTGCCAAAATGGTGCCAACAAAAAAATAAATAAAAATAGCAGTAGCTAGGACACATATTATATTTATTACATGGTCTTGGTAAATTTCATCCACACTATGTAATCCTAATATGAAATAATAATCCCATTTTATAAGGAAGTCCTTTCATTTCAGGAAATACTTCATGGTTCTTATTTAAAAAACAAACAGAAGTCTCAACCTTCCTGTGACGCACATCTTATTATGCCCATTTTGTGGATGACTGAGAAAAGCAGAAACTGGCAAATTAGCTCAAGGTCACAAAGCTGAGCAAAGTACTAATGCCAAATCTTCTGGCTTCAGGACAGCACCAAAAGTCTCAAAACCACCTGCAGACAAGTTCTGTATAAGGCTGTGGTTCACTTGTATTGTTAACCTGAGACATAAATCAAATCTTTTTCCAACAGTAGAGCAAAAGTGATGCCTTTTCACTCACCATAGCTTCCTTTTCATATGTTAAAGTATCTTTATATGAGCAATTATTTATTAAAGCAGCAATGTTTAAGAACTGCATTCAGATTTACAAAAAAAATATAGATATACACATATATAATCTCAATCCTTAATGCTTGGGTGAGAAAATGCACTTGTTTGGAGGAATCAAGAAAAGTTATGTAGTATCAATCATCCTCTACAAATCCAACTCACTCTAAAAATATTTAAGGTATGCCATTACAGAGCATCATGTGTCAAGAAAAAGCAAATTAACACCCCCCATACCAATATATAATACGTAGTGACTATATCTAAAATATGCAAGCTATGTTTGTTTAGATGGCTTTGGTCAAAATGAAAGTAACCCAACTTCTATCAATCTACTCACTTTTTTTTTGCTCGTGACAGAAGAAGCAAAATCTCAGCCTGAGTCTATCCTATCACAGATGGACCTCTGGTTGCCCTCCTCTGCAGAATTAGCACCGCAGGATGCAAGACTGCCTCTGGAGGAGACAGCTTCGCAGAGCAAGGACACTCAGTAGGGTGGAGAAACAAAGGTGGTGCATTTCCAGTGGAAGAATTTCAAATTTGACATAATACTTGATAACAGAGAAGAGTTAGTAAAAATGAAGATATGTTTGAGATAGGTATTTGTCAGATCCATCCGTCTTCTCCTTTCACATATCATGTCCATTTTCAGATATGGCTTCCTGGTTATTTCTCCTTCCTTCTGAATAGCAGACTATGCTTATTCATTCTTCCGGGGCTATTAAAGCCTGCAAGCAATAAAATCTTGAAACAATACTTGAGAAGACAGGAGTACTCTAGAAGAATCAAGATGGCGAATCAAAATGTTATCTGATCTGATTCCAAAGCCAGAAAACTACTGCCGAACAACTGGCTGTACTTGACTCTCTCAATGCCAGTGAGTCACCCACACAGATTCTTATCGTTAAATCCTTTAGTTTATTGGAGCACTTCATGAGAACATGTCACAAGGAATAGTCCCCTATGCTCTGTGATGATGCTTATTGCTTAGGATTTCATTGAAATTCCAAAAGAAAAAGAAGAAAAAAACACAGACTTCATCCTCCATAATAATTTTATATCTGGAATTGGCTTTGGTATAGGTCAGAAGGGAAAACATGGTTGATCTGAAATGATTAAAGAAGCATGTCTATTTAGATGTGTACCATAAATGAAGGGTTTCCAGCACTGCCTACCTGATCTGGTTTATAGTTCACAACTGCCCAATTATCCTTCTACCATCTTAGAACTCACAATCTCATTTAAAAGCAAAACAAAACAAAAAAAAAACCAGAAACTAAACTTTGTATTTCTTACCACTATATTCATCCAGCACTGACTTTCCATTCACAGTGTTGTAACCTAAGACACAGTTTTTCTACTAAGGTCTGTCCAGCATTTTATGGATGCTCCTCTAACAAGCAATCTCTCTGTCCTCAAAAGAATTTATAACAAAAGAAAACTGCTTAGTCTAGTTAAGAGTTTTTTCACACAAAGACAGATAGACACCCACCAAAGTCTCTTTCTGTTGTCTCCTCTGAAAGCTATAATAATGTCACGTCACTGTGGCTTGTCTCACAGCAGCCGGAAATATGCCTGTCACTGATGCAACTCGAGTCACAGAATATTTGTTTTTCCTTCTGCGTCACTTGCACCAGTAATAAACTAAACTAATCTACAATAGACAAGCTCCTGCTTTTTGCTTTTCTCTTTAAAACATTAGCTCTGAGAATATAGACACATTCCAAAGTGCTTCTTGTAAAGGAGAGGAGTGGGTGGGGAATAAAAGGAAATAGCCAACATTTTAAGTCACAAACTGTTCAGAACCCCTTTTAAAGCAATTGGAATGGAACATTTAGATTTGATATTCTGGCTCTAACCAATCTCAGATAGCATTTCACCTGCCACTGCTTCTCCCTCCAATGGAAATCAGTGTTTAGAATGAAAGCCCTCCCCAGCCAATCATGTGCAAGCTCAGGCACTCAGTTAATGATGCAGCAGTACAGGGAAGACTATCACATGTGAGCTGGAAGGCTGCCAACATGGAGACACGCAGAGAGAAAGGTAAACAACTTTCCGAGGCCAAAATGATGACATTTAATTCTTAAATGCAATCTTCTTAACTCACCCTCTGTCAGCTGGTCTGGGGCTTCACAATGTACCTGTCCCCTCTCCCTCCCCAAACCAATGCTTTCCAAACCTAACAACATGCCAAGCAAAGATCCCTGCGTCATCATTTGTCCATTTGCCACTTTCTTAACTCTGCAGATACAGATTCTCGCTTTAAAGATCCAGAGTGTTTTGATAAACCCCTCTACCAACTTCTTGATTTAATAAGGAAACTGGGGAAGGGGGTGTTAGATGGTACCCTCTGCAAAGCTGCTGTTCTATTTCCCTTCCTCCTTTCTTGACTCTCCATTATAGCTAGCTATGCACTGACATTTTACAACTTGTGCCTTCATTCCATTGGTCTGATGCAGGACACAGAAACAACATTTAGCCATAGGAAAATAATACTGGATGAAAAGTTTCAGGGATGGGAGGACAGAAAGATACCTCTAGCCACATACATACAAAGTGAGACACTCAGTTCAATTCACCCCCCCAACTCCGATAAAAAATAATACGTACGTATTTAATAGAGGAACCATGAGATCTGTTCATCTATACACCTGTGCAGTCCTCAACCCTCTGTTCGCTCTGCCGCAGCACAGAACATTCCAGAATTTTCCACCCATTAACCTTTCCTATATCTGCCCCCCCCCCACCTTTGAGGGATTATTGCGTCGCATCTTTCCGGTACCATCAATGGACAAAATCCACTGATCCTCAACAAGTTCCCAAATAATGTTTCTTTAAAGAAAAAAAAACATGCTGGACTGAAAAGGAACCATGCTTCCCAATGTTGTTATTACTTCTCTTGCATGATCTCTCTCTCTGTGTCTCTTGCTGCAGTAGGCTGTTGCTAGTAGACCTATCGACAGAGCTGGTTCTCACTCTCTCCCTCTGAGCTGTGTGACGCAGCTCAAAATTCTCCAGGCTGCTCCTTGTGTTTTAACAACAGAACTGCAGCTTTCCCCTGGAGAGCCGATGCTAGCAGTACCAGGGCCAGACAAACCAAGACAGAAAGTCACTCCCCAGTTAAGCACCCAAGTTATTTATATCTCCCTGTTCTCCCCTCACCTTGGCTTCTCTGCTTCATTTCCACTCTTCCCTCACGTTTTGCATCATCAGCTTCTCGTGGCTCTGCCACAGCTACATTTGCTCAGTTAACTCTTTTAGGAGTGGCAGTTACAGGTTCCACTCTTGAACAACAGAACTGGAAACAGAGTTGTTTGCTTTTGAGTGGGTGCAGGAGATCTGACCCAAGCAAATACAACTGTGCTCAAAACAGAGGACACTTTCCAAGCAGCCATGCAATATCTGAATTAATCCCTTTAAAGGACAGAGAACATCATCAGTTCCAAGAAAACAGATGCTTTCCTCCAGGACTGGACACACTCTCCAGTAAGTGTTTCACTTTTTTGTCATATGAATGAGTACAGGTAGTCCTCGACTTACCACCACAACTGAGTCCAAAATTTATGTTGCCAAGTGAGACAGTTTTAAATGCATTTTGCCTCATTTTATGACCTTCCTTACCACAGTTGTAAAGTGAATCACCACAGTTAATGCCATGATTGTTAAGTAAATGTGGCTTTCCCATTGACTTTGCTTGTCAGAAGGTTGTAAAAGGTGATCACATGACCCCAGGGATACTGCAACCGTCATAAATATGAACCAGTTGCCAAGTGTCAGAATTTTGATCATGTGACCATGGGGATGCTGCAACAGTCGTAAGTGTGAAAAATGGTCGTAAGTCACATTTTCAGTGCCATTATAACTTTGGTCACTAAAAAATGGCTGTAATTTAAGGACTATCTGAGTTATGAATGTCAAGCCTTCCACTGTCCATTAAAAGACGTGAGGGAACAGGATAAAATATCTTGGCTCAAGAAGGAGGCACAGATCAGACTTGGATGCATATATCTAAAGGCCCAAGTCATCAACAGTGGTATACTCAAATGCAGCAAAGGGGTTCCCTACAAAATGTTACTAAGGGTGTGGGCAACGTTCCCTGAACTTCGGGCAACAAATTAATCTCTTCTCTACCCCTGATAAGTATGCTGGGAGGTTAAAGGCTTGCTCCAACAGTGAGAGAAAATAATTGGAAACATTAAGGGAAAGGAAGAAAGTGATCAGCATGACAAAAGAACATAATTCAAAAATGAAAGGCAGCTTCCCTTAAAGCAAGAGACTGTAGATGAAATAAAAATCTGGAGTGATCACCGTACACAGAAATATGCCAGCCCTAATTCTTGCACTGGAAGGCAATTCCTCATCCCCTTCTTTACTGAGCTATTTTAAAGTCCTTCCAGCCTGATAGTGACATCTGTTATGCACCGAGGCATAGAAAAACAACTGCAAGCTTTCACATACAGTACTAAGCAATGCACCAAGATACCGAGTTTAGAATGCACAGGAAGGAAAAGGAAAGGACAGGCACTGAACAGAGAAACAGGCCAAGACACGACTGAACCTCCCAAGGACTCTCATAGAATTTCTTCGTAGCAGCATTTCTTCAGTCATTTCCTTTATTCATGTTCCAGAGTTTCAGTGAATCATCTTTAACTGAAATTCAAATGAAGCAGTGTCTATCCCTGCTGTGATGCCTAAATGGATCCAAATGAGAATGGGACTTTCATTTAAGTTGCTGGGAGTCCCTTTTTTGTTAGCCAAAACTAATTTTACAAAGCAATGAAAGGGGCGTTGTCTTACCTGAACGCCTTTTCTCAGTACGGAGATGGAGAATCCACCAATGGGTTTTCTCTATCTGCCTGCTCTTGAGACCAAGTAGCCAAAGTTGATACGCCCCCTCTTGCTAGGAGATCCAGTCTTGACGAGGGCAAAAGTGGCTGATGCAAGGACGAGGTGTTGGCTCTCAAATCCCTAATAACGGCCTAACTGATCTTAGGGTGGGTGTGGATTCTCCATCTCCGTACTGAGAAAAGGCGTTCAGGTAAGACAACGCCCCTTCTCCAGTACAGGAGATGGAGAATCCACCAATGGGACATACCAAAGCCTCACTGTCCCGATGGGTGGGAAACAGATAAGGCCGAATCTACGCCCCCAGAGACCACCTGCTGGAGGATCCTCCAACCAAAGGAGGCGTCCGCTGAAGCGAAGCGGTCAATCCTATAATGACGTATAAAAGGGGAGGGCGACGACCATGTCACAGCCCTGCAAATCTCCTTGATGGATGCCTGAGTGGCCCATGCCGCAGATGTCACAGTGCTGCGAGTGGAATGGGCTGTGATATGACTTGGAGCCAGCAAGGAGGAAGATTGGTACGCCTCCGCGATACAGGCCCAGATCCACCTGCCGATAGTGCCAGCGGACACCTTCTGTCCCAGGGAAACTGGATGGAAGTAAATAAAGAGGGCCTCAGATCTGCGAAGGGGTTCCATGCGTTTGATGTAATGCAACAGGGCCCTGTGGACGTCCAATGTGTGCCACTGCCACTCCAAGTCATGGGAAGGATCAGGACAAACGTTAGGCAAGATGACTTCCTGTGTCCTATGAAAGAGTGAGTTGACCTTGGGCACGAAGGTGGGATCCAACCGAAGGACTACCCTGTTCCGGTGGAAGATGCAACGATCATTCCTGACCGAGAGAGCAGCCAGCTCGGAGATACGTCTGGCTGATGTGATGGCGATTAAGAATGCAACCTTAAGAGATAAGGCCACAATGGAATATTAGTGATTGGCTCAAGGGGTGGTTTCGTGAGTGCGCGAAGCACACGAGGCAGTTCCCAGGAAAGATACCTGTGTACCACGGGAGACCTAGTGTTGCATGCACCCTTGATGAAGGTGCATATCCTGGGATGGTGAGCTAGAGGAACTGAGTCCGCATAAGTGAGCAACATCGATAGGGCCGCCACCTGCCTACAAAGGGTCGCAGGGGCCAGGCCTCTGTCCAGACTGTCAAGAAAGTAGTCTATGATCTGGGGAATAGTTAATTTGTAGACATCCAGTTGCCGCCTTCTGCACCAATGGCAAAATTTTTTCCATGTGGTATCATAAATGCGATTGGTCGCTGGCCTACGAGAGGCCTGAATCATGGTGATTGCCTATGGTGAGAATAACTCTTGTGTCATGATGCTGCGCTCAAGCATCAGGCGGCTAACTGCAACCACTGAGGGTCCGGGTGTTGGAGGACCCCCTGGTGTAAGGATACGCGATGCGGGGGAATCTTCCACAGAGGAGAGTGGGAGAGATTCATTAGGTTGGCAAACCAGGGCCTCTGTGGCCAGTATGGGGCCACAAGGATCACTTCCGCCTGCTCCTGGAGCAGTTTGCTGATGGTTGCTGGAATGAGCGGAAGGGAAGGGAAGGCATAAAGTAGACCTTGTGGCCACAGAGTCTGCAGGGCATCCGTCCCCTCCGCCCCCGGAAGGCAATAATGGGAGAAGTACCTGGGGAGTTGGGCATTGCTCAACGATGCAAACAGGTCGAGGACCGGATGGCCGAACCTGTGGAATATCTCGGAAAAAAGATCCGGATATAGTCCCCATTCCGAGGGATCTGTCATAGAGTGACTCAGAAAGTCTGCCTGCTGATTCTTGACCCCCGAGATGTGTTCAGCCCTGAGAGAGGCCAGGTTGGACTCTGCCCAGGATCCTAGTAACCAGGCCTCGGACATAAGGGACTTGGACCTGGTGCCCCCTGCCGGTTCACATGGGCCTTGGACGCCACATTGTCCGTGAGGATCAATACATGACGACCCCTGATCCAATGTCGGAATTGACAAAGAGCTAAGTGAATGGCCCTGAGTTCCAGCCAATTGATGTTGTATCTCAAGTCTGCACAGGACCAATGGCCCTGTGCAAACTGAGACTGTAGATGGGTTCCCCAACCGAATAGGCTGGCATACATCGTGATGGTGAGGTCGTCCAGCTCCTTGAAAGGTGATCCCTTGGCTACCGCTTGTGAGAACCACCAGCGTAGAGACCTGAGGGTGGATACCAGCACATCCACCTGCCAGCTGGATGTGCTGGCATTCAATCGTTGGAATGATAGGAGGAACCATTGGAAATCCTGCAAGTGTAGTCTGACCCAGGGGACTATAGCTATGCAGGAGACCATCTTTCCCAGAAGCTGGGAGAGTAGGACCAGTGGAATGGTGCGGTCCTTGTACACTCGGCGAGCCAGGTCCCTGATGTTGACCAACCGCTCCTGGGAGAGATAGACCATGCAGTTTGTGGTGTCTATGATGGCTCCCAGGTGCAGAAACCGGGATGAGGGAACCATCTGGCTTTTTTGGAAGTTCACTGAGAACCCGTGCTGTTGGAGGACCGGAATAGTTAGTTCCAGGTCCAACTGTGCTGCCCGGAAGAAGGATGCTTGGATCAAGATGTCGTCCAGGTAACACTTGACACATACCGGTACCTTCCGTAAATGGGCAGCTAGCACAGCCAGGATCTTGGTGAATACCCTGGGTGCCGAGGAGAGGCCGAATGGGAGGACCTTGTACTGGAAGTGAAGGCCCCCGTAACAGAGCCTGAGGAACCGCCGGTGATCTGGATGGATTGGGATGTGGAGATACGCTTCTGTGAGGTCTATTGACGCCAGGAAGTCTGCCTGTCTGATGCCTCCCAGGATGGACTGGAGTGATTGCATTTTGAACTTTTTGTATGCGATGTAATAGTTCAGACTCTTGAGGTTTAGAATTGTCCTCCATCCCCCCGAGGTCTTGGGGACCACGAAGTGGATGGAGTAGAATCCCCTGCCTATGTGGTCCAGCGGTACCGGTTCTATGGCCTGAATCTCTAAAAGATGTTGAATGGCCTCCTGCATAAGTCCCTTTTTGATTGGATCCCGAGAAGTGGAACAGGTGATGAAGTGACCCGGGGGACTGGCTAGAAACTCCAGGGACAGGCCAAACTGGATTGTTTGTAAGACCCAGGCGTCCATGGATGTGAGTTCCCACTGATGGAAGAAGTGGGCAAGTCTTCCCCCTATGGGAAGTGTGATGAGAGAGTCACTTGGACCTCCTGTAGGGGTGTCCTGCCCCTCGAAATGGCCTCTTGGATTGGTTCTGCTGCCTGGGTCGAAAGCCCGATCTGTCATACGGACGGTCATATGGTCTGTCCTGCCAGGGTGTGTATGAACGGGAGGGCTGGGTGGCTGTCGAACCTGCTACAGGCCAAAAGGACTGCCTGCGGAAATAGGGACGTTTGTCGGACTGTTTATTAAGATCAGCCATGATCTTCCGCTTGTCCTTGTTTTCGACAAGGTATGGAGTCAGGGCCTCCTCAAAGAGATTGTTGCCCAGATAGGGGGCAGTTGCGAGACGCCATTTGGCTTTGGCCTCGGCCTGCCAGTGTTTCAGCCATAGCATCCTTCTGGCTGTGATGTTGGAGGCTAGAGACCTGGAAGCAAAGTTGGCCGACTGAAGTGTCGCGTCCGCAGCATACTCAGTTGCACCCATCATTTTGCTTAGGTCCTGGTGAGTCCGAATGTCCTCAGAAGGGACTCTGGCTTGAAGCTGACGAAGCCATAAGAGGGTGGTTCTGACAAAGAAGGATGTGCAGGTGGCTGTTTTAATTGCCCATGCCACTGATTGATGGGTCTTTTGAAAAATTTGGTCCCATTTCCTGTTGTCCGCTTTAAGCACCTCAGACATGTCCCCAGCAACTGCAGTCTGGGACACCAGAGGGGTCCAGGCCTCGTCTATCTTGGGAACCTCCAGGACCTCAGTTAGGTCTATAGAGGTACTAAAAATCTTTTTATCTATCCCGCCTACAGAAGGAAATGAGGAAGGGGAAACCCATTGCTTTTTGATCCCTTTAAGAAATATAGAAGGTCAGGGAACATGATGTTGGGTTGTCACCGTTTCAAAGAATATTGGATTTGGGCTGGAATCTGATGTGGCCTGTGGCTGAGGGAACTGATCGGACCCTATGTTTGCCGTTGAGGTGGCTTTGCGAAGCAAGGGGAGGGAATAGACCTCCCAATGGGGAGGGTTCAGAGGGAAGTTCCTCCTCCTCTAATAGATTGAAGTCCGGCTGATCCTCACTCTGCGGAGATGAGTATCCGCTAATTGAGGAGTGTGTAGGATATGGGCTCCTGAAATAAAGGGATCCCCGTAGGAGGGACATAAGGAGGCATAGCTGATGTGGAAGCCTCCTGCCTGGGTGGGTGGAAGGACCGTTCTGCTAGTGCGTGGTCCACAACCTTAGATAGCAGGGCCTCAAGGCGGCCATTGGAGAAAATGTCTCTGAGGTCCGGCCCCCTGAGCCTAGCGGCCGTTGGCATGAAGGTGGCCTCAGGAACCGAACCCGAGAGGAGAGTTGGTAGAAGGTGGCCTCAGGAACCGAACCCGAGGGGAGAGTCGGCTGTGTGCTGAACTAGCACAGAAGGGGGACAATGTGTAGCGGGGGTTTCTGTCAGGGACCACACGCCCTGAGCCGAGGTTGAAGGACCCAAAGGGAGGTCAAATTCAGGGCCACCAATTGATCAGTCCCAGATCCTGCCTGTCTCTGTGCTCTGGAGAACTCCTTCTCCAGAGCCTGGTGCCTATGGCTAGCTTGCTTCTCTGCCAACTTGGAAGGTTTTTTCAGAGTGGCCTTAGCTTTGTTCTTGAGCTTGCCTGCTGCCTCCTGTTTGGAATTTTTGTGCCGGCTGTGACTGGAGGATGGGGAGGCAGTGCTCATGGGTTGAGGCACCGTGGAGTCCTCCATCCTGAGATGAGCTATCTCAGGAAACCTGAGGGTGAGCTCTGGCAGGCAAGCGGTTGGCGGGAAGAGAAATTGGAACAAGTAACGAGGACTGCTTCCCTGACCACCTGACCAGTTGATAATTCTCTCTGGGCTTAGGTCACAGTTGATAAAATAAGACTGAAGGAACGGTTGAGACCCGCTAAGGGCTCCGCCTGGAGGCCTTAGGTGGCCAGTCAAGGTGCACCAGACAGCCCAATGAAGGGCGCAGAGGGCCTGAAAATGAGGCCTGGCAGAGGCAACGTGAGAGGAGATTCAAATGGCTGCTCCAATTAAGATGGTGGCCTAAGAATTTGGGCCTTGTCTGTGAATTACTGGGTTGAACTTAATGGATGCAGTTTATGAAACCTAGGAGACCGATACTGGTGCAGGGTTAGAATAGTATCTCAGATGACCTGAGAAGTAGCCAGAATAAGGGAAACCTTGTGGGGAAGCTGGGAGCCTGCAGCCAGTACAGAAGGCCTAATGTGGTGGCTTAAGGGAGGGCCTCATGATGTTCCCAAGATGGCGGCCACAACGGGCTCCGCCAAATTTCCTGGGATGGCAAGGCTGTGTGACGGGCCTGAAGTCCTGTGGAAAGGCCCTGTAATGCACTGAGGCCTTCAGTCAGTAATCTGGCTGATGGCAATTGCAAGGCCGACCACGTGGTGCATCCAAAATGGCGGCCGTGGCGAATTTAGGTGAGGCTTCCTATGTTCGTGAGAAGCCTTTGTCTCAAAAATCAGAAATTTAGAGTTAAATTCGCTCAGAAGCTTTTTTAAGGGCAAAAAAAAAACCTCTGTCTGAGTTTTGTGAGTTCGTCAGCCATCCAAAATGGTGGCCGCGACTTTTGGGCCGTTGAAAACGGCCTCCGGAGGCTTGGAAGGTAAAATTTGAGCTGTGGGGGTGATCTGACTGCAGCACTGAGCACTGGGCAGGGGAATCAATGGGGGAACTGATATTGAAGGGATTCCCCCCCCCCCCCGAGCCCTGGGGATAGAAACGGAAAATTACTCTCTCCCACCCACCCCACAAGCCTCAAATCAGCCGATTTGAGGCAGCGATTTGAGGCAGAGCTGATCCCAATCTTTTAGAATGTAAACACTAATTAGGGGAGGTACAATCAATCAATGCAAGGAGAATTCAACAATGGATCTTTGACCTGCTAAATGAATTGCAAAACCTGATAGCCAACCTGACTCGTCTTCAAGAGCTTGAGACCAAGTCAAGACTGGATCTCCTAGCAAGAGGGGGCGTGTCAAGTTTGGCTACTTGGTCTCAAGAGCAGGCAGACAGAGAAAACCCATTGGTGGATTCTCCATCTCCTGTACTGGAGAACTGTAAATTATCAGTGAATCAGCAAAACAGCAGAAAAGCAAATATTTTAATTCTCTGGAAAAAGGTAGATTGGTTCCCAAATCGTTTAATGAATAAAACTTTTAAGAGGATAAACGCAGAAAAAAATAGCTTTTCCAAAGAATCAGAACTTCCTAGAGTTGCCATCTGATGGCTAATACACATCAGAAGACGTTTCGCCAAAACAAGAATAAAATAAAAAATAAAAAGTCTGCCATGCTTTCACATCTGATGAATACAAACTGTTCTTAAAAGTGAAACATGCCCATATGTTTCTTAATTTATAACTAGAAAGCAACCTGTAATGGACAAATGATAGTGTAAAAAACACAATGGTGTCCCCATGAGCTAAAACAAGAGAAGTTGCCAACAACAATATTGGTGAATATTTCCAAAAAGAAGACTCTACCATAATGACTACAGCCAGTCATGAGAGGTACATTTGCCCCAGAAATGTGCATGAGTTTGTTGCTAAACCTAGAACCGCATACTGTATGTTTCTATCACTATAACATTTCCACTGACTTGATAGTTAAACATTAAATTAGTACTGAGTAAGCCAGACATTGTTTATTACTGTTTGCCCCAGGAAGACTGAGAAATGGCAATGCAGACAGTTATAACTGTAACAGTTTTGTTTTGTTTTCCTGAGCAGAAACATTTGGATACATTTTAAAAAGGCAATATCTTTCATACCCCCCCCCTTTTTTTTTAGTGGAACAGAATCTTTATTTTTTTCCCCAGAATGGAAGCAAGCACATGAAAAACAGCAGTAGTCTATACTGAAAGTGTGAAAGCTGCACCCTTAAAAATGGAAAATCCATCATCTTCCCCAATACTTGACAAGCACTGAAGTTATCGGAGTGTAACTCATTCAGTCATAGAAATCAGAACCTTAAGAAGGATGGAGAACAAGAATAAATGCCACTGAAACTTGATTCTATGTAAAGAACATTACCTGAGGGTAAGCATAATTATCAAATCCCAACAGAAACAACTGCACACTGCTATAGAGCTTTCTGCCACACATCTTCTTTGAAACTGGGCATAGGAAACTCCCATTGTTTCATGGCATCTGGCTCTCTCAATGAAACATGAGATAATGATCTAAAGGCCATACTTGTGCATAACAATTCTTCCACCAGTAGCACCAGCACTTATTATAATTCCTACAAAAGGCAGTCTAGGGATACAATGGAATACTAATTACTGTTTTACTTTTGGAAAAAAAATAGCTGAAACTATAATTTACATAACCTGTGCAAATTCCTTGTAGTTTCAGAACTTGAAAATAACAAATCATTTCATGACCCTTGTTTACCCTATAGCTGAAGATCAAACAATACCAAAGTATATGTAGCACCAAACAACTTCCATCCTGGGAATAACTGAGGTGAAGTTATTGATGTACACAAAAAACCCTTTAACTCAACCTCTTAGCAAAGACGTTTAGTCATATCTAAACACAGTTCATATACAAGTATGCAAACCCAGAAAGCAATTCTATGCTCAATTTGTAAAGTTTCAATATTACAAATATTCTACTGTACTTGCAGAGAATGTGTAACTTTAATTCTTCAGTTCATTCATGGGTTCATTTGCAAATTTTGATCTGTAAACCAGATTTGGTTTAGAATACAGCAAGATTATCCCCCCCCCCATAAGCATGTGAACTTGTGATGAAGTGGCTAGGATTCTGATGTAAAACCAGAGAGACTCATTCAGAGTCCATATTGAATCACAGAAGCTCTCCAAACAACTTTTTAAAGTTTTCTAAAACCTCATAAAATAAAATAGCTATAATAAAGAAGGAAAAAGTCCTGTTGAATGATCTATGTAATAACTATAAAAAGTTATAAAGTGCAGTGCTTTGAGAATAGAAAGTAGAATGTTGCCTTAGTAAGACTTAAGTTTCAAAAAAATTGAATTTATTTTTAACAGTAAATTTGAAGCATTTTTAAACTTGTTATCTACTACCTAACATTTATATGTTAAACTTATCAAGGAATATAAAGATATTTTTTCAGTGAATAGACAACAAGTTTTATACTGCATAGCTGCAAAAATGCTTGCAAACTAATTTTAGGAAGTACAAGAAATTGCACATCCAGCAACAAACAGCAATAAAACTCAAGAGTGGAACTTAACAGCAGGCTTAAAATACAGAACACAAAGTCCTAGTAATGCTGAGACAATGCAGGATCATAAACCTTATAAGAAACAATTATGCAATCACATTTAAAAAATTAATTGTGGGTTTCAGAATTGTCCTTTGGCACCAAGGGAAGCTGCTGTCCTTAATTTAATTTTATATGTAAAATATATTCAATTGATAAGTATGTTATGTTATAGTATAATAGCATCAGTCATGGGAACTATTTTAGGAAACTGTACAGAATACAGACAATAATATTGAGTACCTTTACCTGCTCTACAGGTGAGTAAATGTCAAGAAGCTGCAAGTAGGAAAAAAGACAAGCTTCTGAACAGGAGAAACCAGTATTGTTCAAGATATTTCCATAAAGTTTTGCTAAGAACAAAGAACACAGAGTGCCTCCTACTATGGAAGTTCACTTGACAATATAAGTGGAGGTAGTGGGGTTTGCACTGGTGGCACAGAAATAGCCATTCTCTGTTTGGCACCCTGCACTTCATGAGTCATGGAAGAAACGCATAAGAAAAAAAAGCTCTAGAGGCAAGTGTATATTGTATGTTAGGAACATAAAGAAATGCAAGGTGATTGTGTTGCTATTAACAATCTGAAGATTATAATTTATTCTTATACTGTTTACAGTTTGGTAAAGTGTAGTACAAACACAAGTATGTTTATTCAGATTCCAGTTTGAATGTGGCGTCTTGGGGTTATTCCCAGTAAACATAGTCAGTTTTTTTTCCCTAGCACAATGACAATTGCAAGAAACAAGAATTCAGAAAAAAAAAACAACATAGCATGCAGTGGGCTTCTATATCCCTTTTTTATCCTGTCATTGTGGGAGGAATTGATAATTCTTCATATCTGTCATATGAACATCCAACTATCTCTACAACATACAGAAGGAACTCTTGTTTTGAAATCCATTTTCTATTAGAAATGTAAGAGAAGTTAAATATATCATCAATTATTCACCTCAAATAAACAAATATTCTCACATATACACATTTTTAAATACTGAAGCCCCATATAGCATGTAAATGCACTGGGCAACTGACATAAATTAATCTTTTTTAAAAAAAATGCAGATAAAATTAGAGAAAACAATGTTACCCAAAATTTGAGCCTAACCATTAGCCCAGTAAAATTTGCGCATCCCTGGATTAAAATGTTGAACTATCATAAAGGAAAAGATACATTTCAAATACTCTATCACAATATAATCATTTTAATACCACTTGAATCAATAGATGGAACAGCACAGAACAGATTTGATATGAGTTCTGGTAACTTTGCCAGCAGCTTCAGAATCTACTGTAATAAAACTGCAAATGTCAAGACCTCTTAAATTCCCACTTTAAAGAATCCTTTTTGAGAAGCATCACTCTTCTTTCACTATTTGTTCATTCACTATTCGTTTGTGCACTATTCACCACTATTGCAAACTCTTCTTTCTCCTTCTCCTTTCCATTACTTACATGGGAAATCATGGATCAGTTGTCTTCTGCAAAATATGCAAGAATATAAACAGTTTTTAGCTACCTAATTGGAACATTGAGATTTTTTTGTTCTATATAGTTGAAAACATCAACATTAACAGATCATACCAGATATTACAGAAATAAGAATGTATCAAAGTTTGTTACACTCAATTCAACTTTCCAATACAAATATACTGTGAGATTCCTTAATATTCTGTTACTTAAAAGTGACACGGAAGTTTTTTAAAAGGGAGAGAAAGAAAGTTCAAAGGAAACAGGAAGTCGGTGCTGCAGCAGATAGAGTTAAGAGAGTTATGTAATCTCTTTACTGGGACATGGATAGGACAGCACACTGCTTGCTGATTAACTAAAAATAGAATAATCCCAATTACAGCAACACTTCAACTTTTTCCTAAGTTTCATGTTTCATGAGCTCACAGAGAACTCATGAATGGAGAGGGTGGGGAGAAAAAGACAGCAGACCAAACAAGAAACCTTTTTATTTTTCTTCTAACTTAGAGAACATAAATATCAACAAAATCTTCTTTTCTACTCTAATTTTCTGGGCTGTTGTATTTCAGATCTGAATAGGCTAAGTTCCATATTATTTGCTTTAAGATCCATCCTTTCCAATTTGAACACAAAGTGTAGTAGATAAAGAAATGAAAATCTGCTGTTTTGATCAGTTTTACATTAATCACTTAAATAATGCAAAGAAAACAATAATTTGCCAACGGCCACTTTAAAAATTAACAGACTTGTAGAATGAATTCCAGATGTAGCCAGTGTATAAAACATGTTTAAACACCATACGTTTATAAATAAAAATTAGAAAACTAACAATGTTGTTCTTATTCAGTACATTGGAGGTTTGTGTAAACATCTTTCAGTGCTAGCTTTATATACTTATATGTCTAGTTTAATGAAGAGAAGGACGAGGGGTGACATGATAGCAGTTCCAATATCTCAGGGGTTGCCACAAGGAAGAGGGAGTCAAGCTATTCTCCAAAGCACCTGAAGGCAGGACAAGAAGCAACAGATGGAAACTAACCAAAGAGAGAAGTAACCTAGAACTAAGGAGAAATTTCTTGACAATTAGAACAATTAATCAGTGGAACAATCTGCCTCCAGAAGCTGTGAATGCTCCAACACTGGAAGTTTTTAAGAAGAGAATGGACAGCCATTTGTCTGAAATGGTATAGAATTTCCTGCCTGGGCAGGGGGTTGGACTAGATGACCTCCAAGGTCCCTTCCAACTTTATTATTATTGTTGTTGTTATTGTTATTATTTCCTACATACATGAAACAAATCCATATAATATTTTTCTAAGAATAGGGGGAAAATGAAATAAAATAAAATGCATGCTCTGTCATAGTAATCATGGCTTTTATTTTAATGTTTAAAATGAAGCATGAATATTCAACCAATCATCCTTGCAGTTTTACTTTTGAAGAACTGCCATCCTTCATATCCATATTTATAGAATGACACCTATGCAAAATAAAAAAAGACAGGAAAAAAATATATCCACACATATCCACACACATACATACTGTATCTTAATCACAATTAATTTTACGTACATATTCATATTCATATGTAATCAAATTATTAACATCTATCAATAAACATCAGGAAAAAAATAGGAAATTAATATTTAACCCAATATATCACCCAAATTTCTAAGTAGCCATCCCTTAGAAGTATTTCTGTATAAAATATGTATACCAATGCAGAGAGATTTCACTACTTTTAAATATGTATTTTGATTATGTGCCATCAAATTTTTGTTGACTCTTAATGTGAAACTAATGAACAAAATAAATCAGTTTTAAAATTTTCAACATAATTTTATAATTGATAAACATAGCAAAAAATAGCAGCAAAGCGAAAAGAAAAATGATATGAAAATTAAGTAATACACAGAATTTCAAAACTTTGATCATGTTGCTGATAAGTCTTCTTACTTGCCCCTTTGTTGAAAAAAAGGCTGATTTAAATGTTGACAAAGAACATGTATCATTTTATTACTGAACATGAAAGGATAATTGGGACATTTCTGTAAAAATTGAAATTGAATGAGAAATAGAAGCCATGATAAAATAACAATTTCACAACACTATATGGGAAAGATATTCAAGAGCAAATTTATATTATAAAAGAAAGTTAAAACTTACCACTTAGCTCTTCTTCCATAATGGAAGAACACCTCAGCTACTATGTACCCAAACAACAGGTCACCCCATCATTTTTGTCTGAGCCCTAATCATCTATGTTGATCCCTATGTTGATCCCTATGTAGACTAGATCAGAAAATCACTTCTACAGGG